CAACCTGGACAGACCAATCATAGGAGACACATGCTCCAGAGCCTCTCTAGTTGATCTAAAAAGTTGTAGTCATTTACATTCAAGGAAGTGATGTCTCATTCTTTTTGCAGTTATGTGCAGGAATTACTTTAAACAAAAACAAACAAACAAAATATCACCTTAGAGGCAGTTCTGGAAATTCACGGTTCCAGAAAATTAATTTTCAGAACTAATTGTTCCATAAATTAGATTTTCAAGTGGATTACTGTCACTATTTCCTCATAGTGAAATAAACTTGTTTCCTCCCCTATACCAGCACCCTACTGCAGTACCCTTAGTGCTTCCCAAATGAAATGCATCCCTTGTCACAGTTTGAGCTGACACATGCCTGTCGCTGCAAACTTAGTGAAATCCCCACTGCAGACTGTTGGACCAGTGCATAAATGCATGAGAATTCTGAGATGCAGCTACTGAACTTGTTTTGCAACACAAAAAAATCTGCCTTCTTACATTTTATCATAAAAAGGAGGGCTGGAGAACAGAGTTATGCAATAAATTCTCACCACTCACTTTCTGAATGAGATCACAGGACAGCTGGGATGTAAGGACCTTCTTTCTCCTATGAACTGCTTTCTATGCTCATCCCAAATTACAACATGCTCAGCCAGGCAGGGAATAACCAGGGAAATCACCATGGAGAAATACCATGCAGGCACCATATGCTTCCTGTTCGGGTGCACAATTCTTTTTTCTGCTGTGTTTTGGTGCTGGACTTTGTGCAACCATATGCGGTGTCCGTGCTTAGCACAAGAGGCAAAATAAGACCTAAAAAAGACTTCACTGAGAATTACAATTTTGTGGAGGATCAAACTGATCATCTCCAAGTAAAAAGCCACCCCTCAGTACATGATTTTATGAAGTTCTGAAAGGTGCTGAGCATTTGAAAGGCTGAGATTTCCAAAACACACTAAAATAAAGATGTGTTCTACCATCCACAGGTGGGCAGATTTAGCCCTCATCATTAGTGTGCCTGCTCTGGAGATTCCTCCTGCGTTATGTAGTGTTTCCAAGGTTGCATATATCCATTAGGGCTGCAAGCACTTTAAGGTAGTTGACAGCAGTCAGTGACTGATTCTAGGGATGGATATATATTTCAGAAAATTCTCTCTGTATATGTTTTTGTTTGTAAACCTTTAAAGTGTTTGTGCAAATCTACTGCACACAGTTTGA